TTGAAGACACTCGTATACGTGGCCTGTAAGGACTCAACGAAAGGAGTAGCATATGCTTTCTCTCTCTCTTGAAATGTAAACGCCGCTTTTCCACGAAATATACGCTATTAGAGCCCCATTGTTCCTCACTTTCAATAGATAAAAAGCGTGAAAGTCGTACGAAATTATACCCATCAAGGCCATATGCTTCTTTACATCACGATTAACGTTCCTCTGACATCAATCTATACTTCTACAACCACTGTCCTTCTACAGCTGGCCGAGTTTCGAAACTCATCGTCGAATTCCATTAAATATCAGTTTTCGTGGCCAACTCATTAGCTGTTGGTTACTTTGTCCTAATGGGGTGAGATTTGTGTGCGACATTGTAGTGAGTATATATGCAGCCACTAGATGGTACATACGACTTACGCCGAAACAACAACGCTCTCAAAACACAGGGTAACTGCAACAACCGTCAGAACTGACATCACCGAAAACCGAATAGGTGCTACGTCATTCGCCAAGTAACGTTTTTTTTCTCACAAGCCAACTTCCTCTTTCAAGTTTCTCTTTTTTACAGGACGCAGTCATCAGATTGCATATAGTCTAGTGGCTAAGGTACTCGGCTGCTGACCCGCAGGTCGCGGGATCAAATCCCGGGTGCGGCGGCTGCATTTGCGATGGAGGCGGAAATGTTGTAGGCCCGTGTACTCAGATTTGGGTGCACGTTAAAGAACCCCAGGTGGTAGAAATCTCCGGAGCCCTCCACTACGGCGTCTCTCATAATCATATGGTGGTTTTGGGACGTTAAATCCCACCTATCAATCAATCAGATTGCATATACACGAACGTTTTGCTTCGTTTCGAATTCTGGAAAACTAGAATTCTTGAAAAGGTAATCGGCTTGTGCATATTAAATTAGAACGTCGATCACGCTTTTCTTAAACGTAAAAAATGTCTTAGCTTACCAGTGAGAAAGTATTGTGCTTTTGGAGAGTACCGGTAACTACTTGCGTAGTTCAGCTTTGTGCGTGTCAATTTCTTAAGCGCTAGCATGAGAAGCATGCCTTCTCATGCGTGTAACTGTATGTGTTGTGTGTTCATCATTGTATATACCATTGTCCTCACTCAGCAACTGGAGTAGCCTGTCAGGTGAAAAACCAGGCAAACCTCTCCAGCTTCCCATTTAAATAATTATCTCTCTCTTTAGCCCTTAGCATACCATGTTTTCACCTCTGCCTTGATTTCTTCACTGTTTCTATTTCACCTACCTCTCTTAATGTTGAGCTAGTATTGTAACTGTAAAACAATGAACGTTTGCGAAGTAGGCATGTATATAAAAGCTCCTTCAGTAATGTCGAAGCCTGTTTGCTTTGGTCTGGTAGCACTGCGCACGCCTATAGTGATTGGACGGCGCACACTGTACCATTGCTAATGCTTGCCGCTGTTCGCATTTAATTCGACGCCTATAGAACAGACCAAGCGAAGTAATTGGCTGTGGCGAACTTACAGTTTAAAGCAAATTAACCTACAGTTTTCACAAATAGTTCGTGAGCTACCCGAAGCTTTCACCGCACAAGTAATTTGGCTGTGTTGTGCGATCCTTTTAGTGGTGCTCCTCGTTACTAAAAACACTTGATCATTAAAATAAAGCTCTTTTGTTTTACTTCCCTGATCCACGCAGCTTATGAAGATGCCCTAGTGATTATCTTAAACAACCCGAAGTTAAGCTGGTGGTCACATGCTCGGCGGTAGCAGCGCACAAACTTCGTACACTGTTACCGCCCATAATGTATCACTAACTAGCCCAACTATCAGTCCTGGTCACATGCAACGTATTACGTGAAGCTTTTCCCACGCATACTCGCAGACATACAGGCTATTGCGTTTTCAGCACTGCACAAAACAAGAAGACCGGTACAGCAGTAACAAAAAAAAAACATTGTCCTTTAAAAACTTCGCAAAAAAAAAACTTGAAGGGCATGCCAACACAATCCTGACCATCCTGCTTTGTGGAAGTTAACCTCTTGGAATGGTGTTACTTCATTAGAAAGGGAAATATTTTCCCAGTGATTAGGATGTGAATTGTTTTGTAAACATAAAAACACAGGAAAGAGAAGAGAAGTGATCTAGCTATTGTTTTATTAAATGACACACCGTGGTCGACATTCTCACGACCAGGCACTGTATCCTCTAGATTGAGTAGGCTGAGTCATAATATTAGTATTCAGTTGTCGGTGCACCCAGACACACTGTGGAGAGCTATATGAAAACTGAGCAAGACAATCGGGAAATACACTACATACGCGCAGTAACTAAATCCGAAGTATTTCGTTTCGTTTTATCTGAGCGTGCGTCATGGGCGAAGCTATGTGCTCGACTATCGGTGCCTCGCATCTTTGCGTTCTTTACGGAGCTCATATAGCTAATCCAACTAAGAACGCTAAGCACCATTCTAATGGAAAAAAAAAACGTTACTGGCTTGTGGAATTAAAAAGCATGCAGCTTCATTTAATCATTTGTAAGCACGTTGTGTCGCGTCATAGCGATCTCTTCAGCAAGACGCGATCTGTTTCTCGACCCCAACTCTAAAAAGCATCTAGACACAATACGACAAAGCCATAGTATTATCTGAAGCTCTCGTCCAAAGAATTTGAGCAGTTGCCCTTCATCTTCAAATAGGGGCGTAATTGCTATAATGCTTCTTCCCGTATTACTGAAGCTCTTGGATATGGAGATCATAAGTATAATTCAGCACTGAGCTTTGACGACGCTAAACATTCTTTTGTGCCTGTTGCGTAAAATGCTTTTCAGCCAGGGATATCGCAATATGCCGAGAAGGAGCGTCCTAGTACAAATATTTAATTTTCCAAGCCCTCAAGCCATAGGTCTGTATGGATGAAAAAGAGATAATAGGTAAGTGCTACGTTTAAGTATGTTAACGTTAAGCATTATAGCTGCGTGACTCGAATCGCCTCCACGGTGTAGATGTGATGTCAGGAGCCCGCTGCGACCGCAACGACCACGCATATTGAAGGTAACCCACGGAAAACTGAGTATGGTTATACTTCACATTTTTGGTACCGATTTGGTAAAGGTTCTCCTCACTATTACCCGAACACTACCGCAAATAAGACAGAGCAGAACAACTGGCTAGAGGCGCTGTTTGTTCGAAACATCGCTATTCAAACAACAGATGGAACGACCTCGTCCCGTCTTTACTGCTCTCTCGAAATGTTCACGCGGATTAGCGAGCAGGTGGCGCGACGCTTGGAAAGCAGTGCTGACTACTGTTAAAAGAACTGCAATAAAATCGAAAAGATGAACAATAATTCGTTCGTTTTATGTAAAATGCGAAATGGCGAGGTTATTCGAGCATGGCCTCGCGCAACCGGCTTAAAATTCTGAAGACAAATAGGCCCCGTTAAGGAGTTTAATGTCTGAATCGATCGCTCCTGGCGCTCAGATTTTTATGGGGTGGTTTGTAAGGGATCTTAATAGGTTGGTATATTTCACCGCTCGCCGTTCGTCACGTTCCAGAATCGCAGTTTCGCTTCCGCACCTCCGGCTGAAGGCACGCATCCAAGCCACAACATTAACGGCACAGAGCGGTCACACGCCGCTCTAACGATAAATATACTCCAGTAGCTTCAGTTTATCACTGTGAATGACCCCGCGCGCCCGCACAACGGTCGTCTCCCCGGGCTCCGTCCTTTTGTAGTAAAGGCGTTTAGAACGCTGCATTCAACTTCTATAGCGCTGCGGTGGTATGTACTACATTTCGCGTACGCGAAAAGGCTATAGGGATCGTGGCCTAGTAATGTGCATCTGAAGCAACCAACGCAGCCAATAAACACGATATGGTTGTAACGGGTTCTAGTTCGTCGGACTTCAACTCGTATAGTGCACGCTGCCAGGTATGACAAAGACCGATAAAAACTAGACAACGCAGAGTGATGTGCAAAACTAACAACGTGGTTATTAGGAGCATGTCATACCTGGCAGGAAACTGCAAGATGAAGTTAATAAAGGCAGCACCTCGATCCGCACCTGAAAGCTGGCAGTGATATATATATATATATATATATATATATATCGCAGCTAGAAAAGTTAAGGTGTACACTAAATAAAAATCGTAGAGCAGCACTGGTTGTCCCACGTTGCCTAGAATTAGGTTATTTGTGTTCTATATTTGTGTTGTGATGTGACCGAGGACCAAATCAGCGTTTCATCATATACTTTTTTTTTTCCTTTCAGTGCACGCATTATCGTGCGCAATATAGTCCGACTCAATCCCTGTTTTCATGAAGCGTTGAAGGTTGTGAAGAATGCTAAAAAGCAAACAAATACAGTAAGCTATGCAGTAAGCTTACCGACTCATGCAGCAACTCAACAAAAGTGATTGTGCTCGAAATGAAGGGGTCAGCGTTTCCTTTTTGGGGGGAGGGGTGGGGGTGCGGCAGTTCTTTTACGTATGGTCACTTGAGCTGCACTTGTAATGCCCTGAAAAAAGAAGAAAAAAAAATATCACAATAATAATTAGACCACCTCCAATATCTACTCTCGACCCACAACTTTCAAATCTATCGGTGCAACTTATCACGAGATCAGCAATTTCATCCAGCCCTTTGATAGACCAGGCCTCTTCGAACAGTCGTGAGCTCAAGCAGCTTATAAAGATGGGACATCAATCCTTCGAAACAACACTTCATAAAAAAGATCATGCTGCCTTCCTTTTGTGTATTTTAACTTCATTTTATTACCCTTGTGTCTAGCTTTACTCTTCTCTAGGCCACGGCAGACTAGCACATTGTCTTCATGTTCTTATTTTTAATCTCCCCACCTTCCACATACAATCTATCTTCAATAATGTTACTTTGTTTTTTAAAACCCCTCTCGAAATTTCCATCCATCTTCGCAATTGCCACTGGGCTGCAAGCAAAACCAGCCTGATCGCCGGTGGAGAGAAAAGCGTGTCCACATTTCTCACCACTCAAGAAATGGCACTCGTTCCGACGAATATTTGAAACTCAACTTGTATTTCTTTCCTCCGCATTTCATCTCACAAAAGTGCACGTACTCTACACTCCTGCATATCACATCGGTTTATATCTACCACTAACACCAATACCGACGAACTATATACGCTAGCCCGGGTTCTTCGTTCCTTCTGACTCGACGTTAAAGCTAACGATAACTATGAAAACGGTAACCCTAAGTTCGTTTTTCGTGTGGAGGCGGTCTTGGGATATGTCACTAAGTAACGTCGCCGCGCAGTCGATTCACCGCAATGCGCACACAGTATGTAAAAAAAAAAAGATTGAAAGCGGCAAGCTTGTGTTTATTTTAGCGCCTTGTGGGCGCTCACGCGGGGTTGACACAAGTGACGTCGCTTGCTCTCTTCTTTTCTGTATCCTTCGATGACGAGTCTAGCACACAACTTGAGGACCGAGGCAAATGTGGCGTTCGAAGAGAAAAAAAAACACAACCGAGGAAAGAGAGACACAGCGCTGGACCGGACAGAGTGAGTGGCGTGGAAACAAGGCGGTCGGCCTGCCTTTGCACTCAGGCACATTGACGACGACGACGACGACGACGAAGCAACACATCGGAATCACACATGTGTACGCGAACTGACTGGGCTCTCTTCTTCACTCTTTGAGACATTCTTTCCTCTCTAGGTCTTGTGCAGGTCACCACGCAGCAGCCTGTAGAAGGTCTTCTTGAACTGTTGGTTGGCCAAGGCGTAGCAGAACGGGTTGATGGGGCTGTTTGCATAGCAGAGGAAGTAGGTGAAGTAGAAGAGGTGGTGGTTGACGCAGCCAGCCGAGTCGGCGCAAAACCCTTCGACGAGCGCGCAGATGTGGTACGGCGTCCAGCAGATCACGAACGCTCCCAGGATGAACGAGATGGTGCGCAACGCCTTTCGCGCCCGGTTGTTCTCGGACTTGTGCTCCTTCTTGCGCTTGCTGAAGGACGACACGAGCCGGCTGCGGGTGGACGACTCGCGCGACAGGGCGCCCGGCAGCAGCGCCCGCGCAGTCGCCGCTATCGCGGTTGTCGTCGTCGTCGTCGTGGTGGACCCACTCCCGCTTCCGGCCGAGGTCTCGACGACCACGAGCTTGACCGCCGGTGTGGCCGTTCCCTTGGTTCCGGAGTTCTTGTCGTCCTGGCCTTCAGTCCCACCCGCGACGCGACGCCGGCCTCCGCCCCGGGACCGGCTGCTGTCCCTACGCTGCGGCGCCTCCCTCTGATGCTGCGACGTCGCCTCGTCGTCGTCCGACTCCGGGCTGCTCGATCGGTCGACGGTGGTCTGGGGCGGGGGCCGACGACCGATGGCAACTAGCAGCTGCATGCGCCGTTGCTTGGCCGCCGAGCGCCGCTGCATGTCGCGCGCCGTGCGGTAGATGCCGCCGTAGAGCACGAAGAGCACGACCAGCGTGGCGTAGAAGTAGCCGAATATGAGCGACGTGTTGAACACGGGGTCCTTGAGAAACTGGACGGCGCACTCGCCCGGCTCGAGGTCTCGCACGCCGGTGAAGTGCTCCCAGCCCATGATGCTGACGAAGAAGACGACGAACGGCAGCACCCAGGTGGCCGCCAGCATGGAGGCGACGCGGCCACGCGTGCGCCAGTTGCGGTAGCGGGCCGCTATCTTGACCGAGCAGTAGCGATCGATGGTGATCAGCAGCACCGTGTAGATGGACACGAGGCACACGGTGTGGTCCGTGGCGAGCCACAGGTCGCACGGCACGGCGCCCAGCTCCCAGCGGCCCACCAGCACGTACACGGCGTAGAAGGGCATCGAGACGAGCCCGATGAGCAGGTCGGAGAGCGCCAACGAGGCGATGAAGTAGTTGCTCGGCTGCCGGATGGCTCGCTCGACGACGAACGCGGCCAGCACCAGGAGGTTGCCAGCCACGGTGAGCACGATGCAGAGGCCGATCAACAGGCCGATGAGAACCGTCAGCCACGGGCTGAACGGCGCCTCGGGCCCACCGTCCACGCCGCTCTCGTTGTTGCTGCCGCCCGCGACGCACGAGCCGTTGGCATCGCCGCCGCATGCCTCCATGGTCAAGGCCCTGCGGACGGCGCTTAGTTTCAGAGCGTGCGATTCTCCGAACACATGGAGTCATAGAATTAAACAACAATGCATAAAGTGTTCGCATGAGAGGGGAAAAAGAACATACTGATCTTCGAGAAAGCTATTAGGGAACTAATAGCTTGCCTCATAATGCTGTCATGCCGAACATCGGCTTAGATTATGAAACAACAGGCACTGTGAACACGCTTGCCCTGAACGAGCAAACGAGCAGATACTGCAGATGCACTGTTCATAATCAGGTATCTTTGTTCGTTAGCCCAAGAATATTGTACCGCAAGATCTCCTTCAACGTCACGTGTCGCATCTGTGAGGCCGGCATAGTCGCTTAAGACATTCATACTATGTTGCGAGCTCCCCGGCCCACTGCGCTGTCTTACATATTCAGGACTGCGCTTAGTCTTACGTCGTGAGGCCAAAACATTATACACACAATACAGTGAGAGATAAATGTATGTCGTGGCTGGAAAGCTGAGACGTCGGCCTGACTTCGTTTTCTGGCCTAATACTGAGCGTGACGAAAGGGGGTGGGGGTGAAAAAGAAATTAGAGAAAGAAGGCGTTGATGAGGATAAAGTTGGCGATGAATCGTTACCTTGGAAGTTCAAAAACAATTTATAGTCTCGTGTCCAGTTTTGTCTCATGTAAAAACATGTTCAACGCTTTAAGAATATCGCGCTGATGATGAGGTGGCGGTCCCAACAGAATTTTTTTTGAAACTCATTGCTTTGTAGATTTCAATAAGACGATGGCCATCGAATTCGTTTGCGCAATATATCGTGGGCACACACAAGATGTTTCAAGAAAAAGAGCTTGCACTGATTGTAGAACTAATGCAGCTAATAACGGTAATGAACATTGACGGCAAGAGCTTGGCATGTGATTCAATGCTTAGAGCTGACAAATGGAGCGCATAAAAAAGTAAGAGGTGGTAGCACAAGACAAGGATTTATGTAGGAATATAGGAGGGAGCACGCTGACAGACCTAAGGTGGTCCACGACCACGTATACTTCAAAACCCGTATAGGAAGAAGGGCTTGCATTTTCGGCTGCACCGCACGCAACACCGCGACAGTTGAAATTGGGCTTTTTCGAGCGATCTTGCGATTTGCCATCGCCGCACGATGCGCAATTCCAGCCGCTTCGAAATATACGCTCGTTCCATAAAGCATGCCTGATTAAAAGTCAACAACTTATTAAATAATCAATAATACTTCCACTCTCAGCGTAGAACACAGCTGTGAAATCATCTGAGCAGATACATGGGCAATACGAAAACTGGGAGAATCTTAAGCTCCGCCTTTAAGAGATGAGCGCAATTGCGTTTATCCGCCCGCCCACCCACCATCCGTTCGCACGCGCACCTCCCCCCCCCCCCCCCCCACCACCACCACAGACACGCACGCTATCCCTAGCTTCCCTAATCCCTAGGTTGTCTTCGCTTCTATACACTGTGCCGCAAGGAAAGCCGAAGCACAAACGTTCTCCGGCTTCTAGCTTGGTTTGCATTTCCCCGAATTTTCCCTCACTGCCAACACTGTTTTGTTGTTTTTTTACTCACACTCAAGAATGCCACCGCCAACACTGACGTCGAATTGCTGCGAAACAGACGCTGAGCCATTCCACCAATGAGGGCTGCAGAAGTTGCACCTTATTTTTTCCTCAACCTCTCTCTCTCTCTTTCTCAATTGCTGCGAAACGAGCTCTTTACAATATGTCACAAAATTGGTCACTGAGTTTTCCAAAACTTCCGAAGCGAAAATTGAATGAGAGGGAAACTGAACAATCAGTGGTGCATAACATAAAACATAATAATGTTGTTATTATTAAGAACAAGGAGCTTCAAAAGCATTTCGTAGCCCGGATCAAGAAACGCTAAATTTGTACTAGCGTAGTATTGAAACCTGTGCGTGCGTGTTATGCAGCTTACCATGGAAAATAAATTAAGTTTAAAGTCATGCGCATTGCGCACACACCAACACCTACACAGCAAAAGAAAAGAAGCATGACATTACGCAGAATTGCAGTCGGTTACAAAACGCAAAATAATCTTTCCGAAAAGAACACAAGTGAACGTTTGCAGGCGAGGAGGTGATGTGTTGCATAAACCATCCCTTTCACCAACTAAACCGGTAAGTCGTAGAAGCTCTGCGTCCGTAGGCGTTGTGATAGAGAGATAAGATCAGGAGGAGGTATACACTTTCCTGACAACCTGCAATTTGAGGGGCGCGACCCAGACGTCGAGGCCTTGGCTTTATTGCCTTTACACCATCTCGCAGTATTGCTCCGTAAGTGAAATTATATAAACAGAGATATCAATAAAGAGTGAGTTTGCGCCGCAATGATGCTCTATACTATGGGTTATGTGTAGTTCTAGCATTATGGTGAACGGGAACAATGTGCCGTAAAATGTGTAACATCTTTCGGATAATGTGCAACATTATTGTGCATTATTGCTGTTGTGCATTGAAGTGCATTATCCGGATAATGCGCGAAATTGTTGTGCCCTATGCCGGATAGTGTGCAAAACTGTTTATACTCTGAACAATGTGTCGGCAGGTATACCTATTTTACGCGCATTCTTAGGAACTCGTTCAGAATTTAATCTCGACTGCATGCTGAATTTTTTGAGGGGGGGAGGAGGGAGACCTGTGTTAAGCAGCAAGTTCCTTCCTGTATCTGTGAAATGTAGTTGATCTATGCCTAATCAAGAGAAAAAAAGCGACGAGTGATACTGTTACCAGTTGAAAAATTCAATCGTATTGATCAGGAATGCATAATTCAATACGAACAATGAGATACGTGTTCCTATAAATGCTCTATGTATGGCAGTATGTGTCCGATGAATAAGAAGCGTTTCACAGAATTAAACGTCGCTCTAGCTGACACATTATTCTAAACAAAGCTGTAGGGCTCCACAGCATACTAGCTCGTACAGGACAAAACTATTCATCAGCCACCTTAGCTTACGCCAGACACGTCGCCAAACATTCTTATAAGACATTTTCGGAAGCTTCTCATATTTCAGCCATGGCACCCTGGAATCATATACGTCTGTGCAACTCAATAGATTGACAATCGCACATGCCTGGGCGCCGGCCACGCTTCGTCTCGTGAGGGTACAAGCTAGGCTTGCATCGTGGTGCGAGAGAGAGAAGCGTTAGTGTGGCTCGCGGGAGTGGGAGAGAGAAGTGCCCTTTTAGTACACTCCCCCCCCCCCCCCCCTGATTACGCCCATGTGAACGCGTATACTTCTTAAGTCTCGCTTCTTTATATTATTGTATCTAACTTAAGCGCTGGCGTAGGAGAGTTGTCGCCCAGCCGAGAGCAAGAGAGTTATCGGTTATCGATGAGAGCGCGTGCCAATCACCAGTGATTGATGACCCCTCTCGATGAGACTGGCGTATGCTTGCGAGGGAGAGCACGGTGGCCTATTACCGGGCGAACGACATGCTTCAGCGACTGCATACGGGACCCTTTAGTTGCCCTCTTATCAAGACCGATGAGGTGAGACGAGCACTCTTACACTTCCGATGAAGAACACGCCTGTGCCCGTGACACGACAGCAATGAGATGTCTTCCACAATCTAGCACATGAGAGGGGACCCAGTAGGTGACCGTCATATACGCGAGTACAGCTCGTACGTAGATGCGAGAATATATTGTTGCTTTTTAGACACTTAACGAATGCAAAGAGAAGCGACTGCGAGCTACACAAAGATGCACACACACGCCCGCATCGCGCGTGTGCCGCGTAAATATCAGGCAAGTATATGTTTCCATCATTGTAGTAAGCCCCTTATCTATCCTTCATTATCAATCAGTCATCTATCCGACAGCACAAACTGGGGGTCACGCACCGGACGACTAGCGAGCTCGGTAACGGTGTAGGACTGGTGGCCTGCGTAGTAAATGGGACGTCATCCCTGGTACCGGTAATGTGAAAGACATCCTCCCTCGTTTAGGAGCGCTGGAACGGAAGCCAAGCTACGGAGGTCCTCGCCTGGCTAGCGTGTATATCTTCAGTTTCCAAGCAAAGCAAGAGGAAATATGCGCAGATGCTTGGTTCGCATTACAACAGAGCACGGATGCTTCTTTAGTCGTCATATCAGCGGTAGGACAGTAAAAGTTCGTTAATCCAAACTACGTATCTCTAAGTACGCTATGTAGCCTTGAGTATCTCTATTGAGGAGAAATACCGATAGTTCGAACGCGTCGGTGTCCTCGACGGTTAACTTAATTGGGAATCCCTGGTTTTCGTCTCTGTTCGCAAAAGCCTGCCAAGGGGATCACAATATGTTACGCCGACCCGCTAATTTGGAGAATTTTTTAGTCATCTTGAAGTTTGAGTTAGCGAGTTTTTATTGTAGTTGTAGTATGAACAGTCTCATTACCGTGTCTTCATTGTCACGCTGAGGCGCAAGACGTACCACTGATTCGAGATTGCAAGCACAGATGACATTATGTTGCCAATTTCAAACTTGAACCTTGTGTAGCTTTGCATTTATGTATAAAAAAGGCACTTGTCTTCATGATTCTTTAGGCCCTTTGTTACGCTTTGCCCTCGAGAATTTTTGTGGCACGCGACATGCGCGACAACAGCAATAATAGTCATTATAGTAATACTAGTAATAGTAATGTTATTATTATTATTATTATTATTATTATTATTATTATTATTATTATTATTATTATTATTATTATTATTATTATTATTATTATTATTATTATTATTATTATTATTATTATTATTATTATTATTATTATTATTATTATAGCGCATTCGAACTCTTCAACATAACGCACCCAATGTTTTCGCGGGAGAGTTGAGCAAAAAAAAAGAAAGCTATATGCAAACTCCACATAGGACGTTATGAGCGTTATTTGTGAAAATGATAAATTAGCGTTGCAGTGCGTCCCACATACTGCTTATAACCAGTTGAAAGTGGCTGATTGAATGTGAGGCACACAGCGTTTCATA